GTTGTTAGAGAAAACTAAGATGACTGACGCAAAGTCAACTCCAACATCGATGGTGGTGTCACCCAAAGATTACCTCTTATACAGGGCGACCACTTGAAGACGCACATGTATATAGGAGTATAGTTGATGCATTACCATATCTAAGTCATACTAGACCGGACCTTCAACGTTAACAAGGTGACTCAATACATGTACATACCGTGTGAGAAACATTGGTCATTTGTGAAGAGAATCCTGCACTATTTGAATGTAACTCTCAATCATGGTCTTATTTTTAAAGCCTCATGTTCCTCGTCCAGACTGGTAGCATTTGCAGATGTAGATTGAGCGAGCAATGTGGATGATCATCAGTATGTATCCGGTTATTGTATATTTCTAGGATGCAATTTACTATCTTGGAGCTCTAAGAAACAAAAGACGGTGGCACAATCTACTATAGAAAACGAAATATATAAGTATAGCAGATGTTATGTATGAAGTGGTGTGGCTGGAGATGTTGTTAGCTGACATGGGGTTAAGTCAACAAGAAGCACCTGTCGTGTGGAACGATAATACGAGTGTTGAGGCACAAAACACAAACCCTGTATTCCATGTAAGGTCTAAACATGTGGAATTGGACACGCATTTTATACTAGAGAAGGTGACAAATAAAGGATGAGGGTGAACTATGTTCCCGCAATGCAGCAAACAGTGGATGGGTTGACAAAGCCTTTGATAAGATCCTACCTTTTCTTATTTCGACAAAAAGTTCATATAGTTGGTCAAGAAGGTGCTGAAGAGAAGATTAGGAAGAATGTTGAAGTGTAGGCTGATATAAGTTCATACAGTTTCTCCTTATTCTTTGTTAATTAACCTAGTTTGTTTGTAAGTCTACCCATATTTTAAATTAGATCTTTTGAAAATAATATATAAGGTTTTCTAAAAGTATTTTTATCCACGATTAAAAGCCAGTCCGCTGCAAAATATATCTGGTCATTGTCTAGATTTGTTAACAACTTCTCCATTGTCATTTGTTATCCATTGAAAATTTTCATTGCAACATATTTTTATCATTTAACAAGACGGATGATATAATGCACATAGAAACCGAACATGGGGAAACCGGAAAGCTATTTATATATTTATCATATAAAAACGTACAAAGATTAATACACGGAAAGGACAACAATACAACTGTAGGAGTTTAGGGTTGAAATCGATGAGTTTAGCCACGGCAGTAAGTTCCCCTTCAATTAGCTGAACCTCCTCTGGCAAGACAACTAGCATACTGAGGACTGGGGCAATTTCGTTGCGCCGGAACATTACGATTCCCCGTGTTACCGGTTACTGCTCTGTTTCCGCTCTGGAGGATTCTAACAACGTCAGAATTCATCACCAACTCTGACTCTATGGCCTCCGCGATCCTGCATTCATTGAGGTGGCCTTTGAAGCCTTAACTGGTGTTGCTCTTCGCCGGAAAAGCAGCTTCGCAACGATTTGTTTTCAGGAGTAATATTATCACCATGAAAGCAAAAAGAAAGTCCGTTTTTCTCTTCTGAATTAACTCCATTTCCCCCTCAATTGGCTAAAGGTGAAGGAACCGTTAATCATCTAGTTTATTTTATAGGCGAGGAGGGAAATAAAAGATTAGGAGTTGTTGTACTCGAAATTGACCCTATTAATATCTTATTCATTAAAGGGACAACTTTATTAGGTGATGACATAGGATCCTCAGAGTAGGAATTTGAGATGATACAAAATTCAGAAAATAATTAAGAAATACTTTGCAAATATATTATATTATTTTTAATTTCTCAAATAAATTTAGTTTGTAAATATTGTAAGCAATGTATAATAAGATGTAATGTTATAATAAACAATTAATTAATCATATTTGAACTCGATTAAACTCATTTATAATCTTACTCCTACTCCAAATCCTTCCCATGGCATGTTCAAACCCCATCAAGCAACAAGTACACAACTGCGGACGTGGCAGCTTGGAAACTCGATGCCGCTGTCAAAAACGTAGCTGGTTCCGCAACTTGTTGCAGTAGCCTGGAAGATGGCGCCCTCAGCGACAAAACAGCACCGAGCAGTACTGTATGAGCAAATAAAACATATACATGGACCAAGTTGATGCAAGAAACAACTTTCTTTTGGGCGGCAGCACTCTTCCATGGTTGTCATCATCCACGTCCAGTTCTGCAATGCAGCAGTCTCCGTTTACGACCACTAATAGCTCCGCATTTTGGAATCATCCGAAATGCGATGTCGATGTGTTTAGTAACGGAAACTGGGATGAGTTAAGACCTGTGGTTGAGGTAGCCCTTGAACCCTACCCCAGCGATGTCTTTGATTGTACATAATTATACATAGAAATCGAGCATGTATGTGGCAGCCAGTCATAGCATTCCCTACCCCCCTTGAACTGCCTAATAATGGGGAAAAGAATAGAACCAACCATATGGTATTGGGCATGATCCAACTCTCATGCCATTTATAACACCGTTAGCTGGATTTACTTTCGGGAATCGGTCTTTTAGCCCAGCCCAACTATGTACACCTAACATATCTCAGTTGTACGGCGGAAGGTCCAAGTTGATTAAGGGCATGTTTGTTTTGGGTAAAATGTTTTATGGAAAAATTATTATTTTATATTCTTTTTTATGTTTTAAGTTTGTGCAATCTATTCTCGAATTAGTTATAGACTTAGATAATTTGTACAAAATTAATAAATTAGGGAAGATGAATGTTGATTGAGAAAGGAAGTGTATTGAGTGGTTGGCATTACAAGACTAATGTTGTGAAACGTTGTATTTTTTTAAGACCCGGAATAGCAGTTTTAAAGCTTTACATGTCATAGTTTACGTATGATGAGAAATTTTATTTATTGTTTAATGAGTAATGAGATAGATTTATTTGTCAACGACATAAAAAAAACCCCACCGATTCAGTATCATTTTCCCGAAACTAATCAGGGAAGAGCGAATCTTTACGACTCGTCATCATCAGTGCCACCTAAATCATCACAACCTATTTTATTGATGCAATATTCTTAATATTTTGTTTCACATATTTCGAGTCTTACGCACAGTAATTATACATCAATGCTATCAAACTCAACGTTTGCCAAGGGTCCGTTAAAAGTAAAATATTTTTCGAAAAATATTTTCTTTACTTTTAGTGTTTGGTTAGAGAAAAATTAGTTGGTCAACGTAAAACATTTTCTTGATTAACATAAATTTTTTTTTGTTTTCTGGAAAATGATTTACGTCTGATTTTCCGTAAGTCATTTTTCGAATTTTTCACTCTAAAAAATTAATACTCAAAATAATTTTATTTTATGAATTTAATATTAATAAAAAATTTAATATCATTTTAATCAAAATATTAATTATTAAAATATTTAAAATACATTTATTAATATTTCTAATAATATAACATTATATTTTTAATATTATAATAAAACAATCAATTATATTATAATAATATAAGATATTATATTTATATTTTAATAATATATAATAAATTATTAATAAAATTTATATTATTTATTAATTTCATAGAAATAATATTATTAAATTATTAATAATGAATAATATTATTTATATATTCAATATTAATATAACAATCTAATAATATTTTAATAAAGATATTTAAAATATACTAATTAATATTTTTAAAATATAATATAACACTATTACTTTAATAAATAATTAATATAATTTATAATATTTTATTTCAATAAAGTATTCCAATATTAATATTTTTATTAATAAAATTATAAACAATATTTTCATAATACATAAATTATTTTAATATTTTAAAAATAATAATATTAAGTTTTATGATAAATATTATTATTTATTGTATTTTAATATTTATAATAGACAATTTTTAAAAACTTCATCAACTAGTGAAAAAATGATTTAAATAACATCTTCCAAACATAATAAAATATTTTTCAAAATATATTTTTTAAAAAATATAATTCATTTTACGAAAAATATTTTTCAAAAAATATTTTCAGTGAAACAAACGGACCTTTAATATACATCAATGTGAGTTTTGTTGCTCTTCTCTCAATACCATCATTATTAGTCCAACTTCAATCAACTACGTCATGTGCATCAATGTCATTCTTTAGATTTTCGTAAGTCTCATTCAATCGTGAGATTGTTGATTACACTTATGTAGTCATTTTTCTTCATTAGTCATCTATCATCTTACAATTAGAATGTGCCTATGGACGAATCTATCCCATTAGTACATTATAAAATTAAACACAAACTAAAACCTAAAAAGTTATGAAAGATCTGAAAAAAAGTACATTTGTTACAACAAATCAAAAGTGCCATGTATGATAAATGAATATCATGTTAACCATGATTCTAAAAAATTGAAGAAAAAAGTATTTTTATTCTACATGAAATTAATGATCGATAGTTAAATAACATTTAATAATTAATTAACTTTAGATATTTATTTAAAAAGTAATCTTTTATAATTAACTTTAGATATTTAACATTATATAATGAATATTAGTCATTATTAAAAAAAGGTTTATTACAGGGAATCTAAAAATGTAATAAGTTGATCCACAAAAAATATAAAATGTAATAAATTTGTCAAAAAGAATGTAATAAGTTGATCCACAAAAAAATATAAAATGTAATAAGTTGATCAAAAAAAATATAGAATATAAAATGTAAAAAATAATTTTGTCCTTAGAAATTAATTTTGATTCTTCACGTTACGTCTCTACACAGCTCACCCCGGTGTCACTCATCTAATCTCGTATCTCATGGAGTATATCGCAACTTGTCTGTTGACTTTCATTTTAAAATGGTTTATTGAGATCACCAATGAGATGGTTCCACAGCAGCAGAACCACATCTTCCCTTCATCTGTGCTCACGCTGTATCAAATCTGAAACCCAATGGCATCGATATATTTAACACGTCATTAACATTATCCCTAAGAAAATCCCCACCTCAAAATCGTCATCGCTCATTTTATATTACACCCCAACTCTTCTTCATTTTCTCCTAAACTCGCATCGGCAGGACCCGACCCGACCTCCACAAATATGGTCCACTCTAATTCCACCGACGATTTCAAGCTGGTCGGATTCTCCAATTTCATTCGCACCAATCCCAAATCCGACCGCTTCGCCGTCAAGCGTTTCCACCATATCGAGTTCTGGTGCACCGATGCCACCAACACCGCCCGCCGTTTCTCTTGGGGTCTCGGCATGCGATCCGTCGCTAAATCCGACCTCTCCACCGGCAACATGACCCACGCTTCTTATCTCCTTCGTTCCGGCCAACTTAATTTCCTCTTCACCGCCCCTTACTCCCCCTCCATTGCCCTTTCCCAAAACCTCTCCCCTCATTCCACCGCCTCCATTCCCTCTTTCGATCACGCCCTCTGCCGCTCTTTCTCCGCCTCCCACGGCTTAGCCGTCCGTGCCATCGCCCTCGAAGTCGACGACGCCGAAACCGCCTTCACCACCAGCGTCTCCCACGGTGCCCTACCCTCTTCCCCTCCTATCACCCTCGGCGACAACAACGAAGCCACCCTCTCCGAAGTCAAACTCTACGGCGACGTCGTTTTGCGTTACATCAGTTACAACAAAAACACCAACTCCCACCCTGATTCCTTCTTGCCCGGCTTCGAGAAAGTGGAAGAGGAGCTTTCTTACCCATTGGATTACGGAATCCGAAGACTCGATCATGCGGTCGGCAATGTCCCGGATCTGGGCCGCGCCGTTTCGTACGTTAAATCATTCACTGGTTTTCACGAGTTCGCAGAGTTTACAGCCGAAGATGTGGGGACCAGCGAGAGTGGGCTAAACTCCATCGTTTTAGCCAACAACGATGAAATGGTGTTGCTCCCGATGAACGAGCCGGTGTTCGGGACAAAGAGGAAAAGCCAAATTCAGACGTATTTAGAACACAACGAAGGTGCGGGCGTTCAACATTTGGCGCTGGTGAGCGAGGATATATTCAGGACGCTGAGAGAAATGAGGCAGAGAAGCTTGGTTGGTGGTTTCGAGTTCATGCCGTCGCCGCCGCGCACTTACTACAAGAATCTGAAGCAAAGGGCAGGGGACATTTTGAGTGATGAGCAGATTAAAGAGTGTGAAGAGCTGGGGATTTTGGTTGATAGAGATGATCAAGGCACCTTGCTTCAGATCTTCACTAAACCCATCGGTGATAGGCAAGTTTCCCCCTACCAATCAATTACCTTAGTATTTCAGTACTAATCACATAACTTTACGTGAGCAGGGGAAAAGAAATGTAGAAAGGAATCTTTTATATATAAAAAGAAAAAATGAGTTCATATGCATTTTCATATATAGAATTCTGAATTGGAATGGGAACATTTGTGTAGGCCAACGATATTCATAGAGATAATTCAGAGAATTGGGTGCATGGTGAAGGATGAAGAAGGAAAGCAATACCAGAAAGGCGGATGCGGGGGTTTTGGGAAAGGTAACTTTTCGGAGCTCTTTAAATCCATTGAAGAATACGAGAAATCTCTTGAAGCCAAACAAATTCCTCAATCCCTCACCGCCAAGGCTTGAGATTTTTACTTGGATCTTTTTTATTATTTGAAATATCATACACATGTTCGAAGAAAGAAAATACTACTACCAGATCTTGAACCCGACACCGATAGTGTTAACCACTACCCAAACAGGTGTTGTGCAGTTGGCAGTTCATAGGTGTTTTAAGATTAATTATGCATTTTAGGTGGAAATCAAATTTATTAGCTATCTACTGTATACGGTCCCATATTTCCTTTAATTTACTCTTTCAACTTTCGTTTTGAAACAATATTTTTTAATATTTAAAAAAAGTTGTTTTTTAATAGCACGAGATAAATATAAAGTATTATGTATCTATATATTTTTAATCATTGAAAACACTATTTTACAGACAAAACATGAAATTCACTCGAACAATAAAGTGTGAAAATAACAGTCGAACAAATTAACATGATAAAATCAAAAAAGGTGAAGTACAAAATTTGTGCCATGAATCCGATGGACATCTTCGAATGGTTCAAAACAATTTATGATATTCTTTCAATAAAAGAGGAACAACTTATTATGCCTCTAGAAGTCGCCTACGAAAACTATTAACTTTATGTCAGTCTAGATTTTTGGATATCCTCCTTCACCTATTTGAGTTTCTAAAGAATCTACGTTCTCCGTGCACATGAATATCATAAGCTCTTGACCATCTATAATGCATAGATAAAATCTTTGATAGGCCCATGTGACCTATAAGTATTAGTCATAATTACCTTATACTATATAGTTAGTTAGGATCACTATAAATATTTCTCAACTACAACCGAAAAGGAGATCATATTTATCATCTCATTTTTCAGTCTCATTACTTCTTTTATATTTTGTTTTCTCTCACAAAAAATAACGGTTAACAGTTGTTATTTCATTAACCATAATTCATCTAAATCAAAAAAATAAACTATCAATGATCGATTAAACAAACTTATTTCCTTCAGCGATTTATATAAATTTCATATATATATCATGATATTATCGAATAACCCAAATTTATTATTAGGCTAAAATATTGTGTAGGTTTGTATTTTAACAGGGTTTAAAAATCCTTGAAAACCAAAAAATAATCATTTTTATTTAATTAACTCGAACTATTATATCGAAGTATTTTATTTAACTGGTGAATAAAGTATAAAATCCAACTCGGTTAAATGTAATTTTCAAACTAAGATAAAATAAAAGATAAACTACCTATATAGTTACCTTACTATTATCGTATTTTAATTTTGATTATCAAACTAAAAAAATAATTTAATTATTTATATTATAAAATTTTATAATTTTGATCATCCGACATTAAATAACTAATAAAGATGTTGATATATTATATTTTAATTGATATACTAATTCACTAATTTAATTTTCATTCTAAATAATTTAATAAAAATAACTCTTGATATATTCAAATTTCATCAATTAATTCAACTCCATCACCAAAATCATTATCATTAAGCTACACTGCAATAACCCCTTCGCCATATCAAAATGATTATCAACCATGTAGCTTAGCCTCCATAGGAACACCACTAAGAGTAACTCCAGCGATGCGCTGGAGAGGAGTTAAATCTCTATTTGGAGTCTCCAGCACTGCGCCAAATTCATCTCCACTTTCAAGAGCAATGAAACTGCACGTTACATGTAGTGTGCTACTGTAGCAACGCTACAAAATAGTTTTTTTTATGATTTTTTGTTTTTGTTTTTTATTTTGTTATTTTCTTTTTATTTTTTTCTTCTTTGTTATATTATTTTCTCTTATTCTATCTTTTATGTTTTTTATTGTAATTTCTACACAATAAAATAAAAATTAAACATAATATAATATATTCAAGTAGATTAAATTACAAGATAGATAAAAATACATTGAAATTAGATGAATAAACATACTAATTTTGCTCTATGAAATTGATACATGCACCAGGGTCCATAATACATGCACCAGGGTCCATAATACATGCTTCTTTGGACTAATGTTTCTACTCGAACCTATTAGAAGAACAAAGTCTCGAAGATTCAAAGCATATCTATTCGGTAAGTATAATGTGAATGAATCATTAAACGATTCTAATGTTGCTCCCTTTAATGTTTCAAATTCGAGGTCGAATCTTTTTGAAGAAAGGGAGGATGATACATGCATCACAAGGCTCACATCAAAGGAAGAAGTAATAACTCTTCTAAATGATCCACTCGTCCAAGCATTGGAAAAGAAGATCAGAACAAAAGCAGACTTGTGATGACTTTTTGAATGGGATCCTGATCTTATTTGGTCAAGATGTCTTCTGGATATACGACCATCTATCTCTTACCTTTCTAACGGTTCTTGAATCGCATCAATCCGATATCGGGAACTCAAGATATGTCCATTTTACTGAAGACAATGTATGCATGAAATCTTATACGGGATTAATACATAATTTTGTAAATATTACGAATTTTCAATATTTATATTGATTATTTGTAATATAATTTAATATAGGATGAAGAATTATCTTTTAGGATCAGATTTATTATTTTATTAGGAATTAAGGTTGGGTTAAAAAATATTTTTAGTTATTATTATTTTATTAGGAATTAGAGTTAAGACATGTTTAGTTTATTGTTATTTTATTCTTTAGTTATGTAGGACCTTTAGAACTCAGCCCCTATATAAAGGAGGCTTCATTCAACTTTGTAAACAAGATTTATTTGATTAATAATACAACGAGAGTTCGTTTTTGCAAGTGTTGATTGTCTTGTGCCTTCGAAGCTTCTTCTCTTGGAGTTCTTTCAAGTTCTCGTGAGGGAGATTAATCTTCACACTCCAATTTGCCTTTTCATTGCGACTAGGAGGGCTCGATAGGACACTTATCCATCTATTTTCCACAAATCCATCCTCACCATCATCATCTTTACCGTTCACCTTCATAAGGGAGATCTTTTGATTTCTTAGTTATCATACTTTATTTTCAATTTCTTTATCTTTTGTTTATATTGTTCTAATCTTATTTCTTACCTTGTTTCCAGTACCTAAAAGAAACCCTAAGAATCCTACTTGTTGTCGCCACCTTCCCCTATTCATTCCAATTGTTCTTCATCGAGTCTAGAGCTTTCTAAGTTTGATTCTTCAACGAGAGCAACGTTCATTAACCGCCACCACTTCCCTATCAATTGGTATCAGATTTGGGCCGATTCTTGGAAAGAAGCAAGCAATCTTGCTTGTTCTTGCACACAAAACCGTCAAGGTATCCCAAAGAGCTAGTTCAGAGAAGATTCATCGTTTCAGGTTCTTTTTATTTAATTTTAATTTAGATTAAAATTCTTCTTGTTAGTTTGCTATTTTTTACACACACAAAAAAGGCAAAAAAAAAACAAAAAAGCCAAAATTTAAAAAAAAAAATTACAAACAAAAGTATTTAGGGCTGATTTTCTCCGGATATCATATTCATCCTAATAGAAATCTCCAGTCCAAAATTCACCCAAATCGGAGTCCATTAGAGCCATCAAATATATCCTTCAAGTTTCATCGGCAGATTCGGTCTAGGATATTGTCGAATTTCTTGAAAATTCTAAAGGAGAAATTTCGTGATGAAAATTTCCAGATTGCAACTTCATATATTTAATATCATTTACACAAAAAATAAGAATTTTTGGAGATCAATAACACCTTCGAACAAAACGATCAAGAAAAACAGATTGTTTGAGAACTCACCGTTCAACAGAGTCTACTGGATACTACTTAAGGTATTTGGTTCTGAAATTTTACAGGTGGTTTCTTGACACATCTAAAGACATTCAAGAATTTTTTCCAAAACTTTCGGACACCAGTAACCCCCTCAAAAACGTTGCTCAAGTTGATCCAGCTTTTTTCAGGTTTCTGGGTTGGTTCTTTTTTTTTCTTTTACTCATAGTGCTTTAGGTTCTTTTGTTTTCCTTTTTATTGTTCTTTTTCATTATCTAACACATTATCTTTCTTGTGTTATTAGGACTAAAGAGTTTGCATACTTCTTCATTCTTTGCATTCTCGTTCTCTTGGAGTCTAACCCTTGTTTGACCTCTTAGAGCTTTTAGGCTTTTCTTATCGCCTTTGCTAGTAATCAAACTCTGATACGAACTGTGGAAGACTACTTGGTAAAGTGAGTTTTAAAGAGTACAAGATTGGCTTACTTGCCTCTCGTTGTTTTACTTTCTTGGTGTAACTTGTGAGGTTTCTTGTTTTGTTGAATTTACTTTATTTTATTTTTTATTTTACTTTAAAATTTTCTTTCAAGTGTTATGATTTCAGGATGCGCGACAATAACAATAAGACACTTACGACTATCTTAGCCACACTTGCATGACTTACGACTCAAGTTGAAAGATTTGATGAACTTACCAATACCGTGAGAGAACGACAAGAACCAGAACTAGATCTATCAAACCAGAATCCAAGAACAAACAATGCTGAACTTTTGGTACCCAAGCGAGAACAACCACGTTTCCAAGCACCCGAACTCTTTGCAAAACCAAAGTTCATGATCCCGTCTTTCAAAGGAGACAACGATCCAGACATGTACATCGATTGGGAAGGAAAAGTTGATCTCATGTTTTCATACCATGACTACCCCCAAGCTAAACATGTTCCCTTTATCACCATGCAATTCGAAGGATATGCTCGAACTTGGTGGATGCAAACAAGGAAAAAAGATCCAGAACTTCCAAATTCCAACGATCACTTCTTGGACCAACCTTAAACAAACCATGAGGAAGCGATTCCTACCGACACATTATACACGAGAAGTTAAACTACAACTACACCGACTTCGACAAGGTAGAAGTTCAGTTGAAGACTACTGCAAGGAGATGCAGTCCTTACTAATAGGGCTAACATAACCGAAAAAGAAGAGGTCACCATGTCAAGATTCGTCTTCGGCTTGAACTCAAACATCACTGATCTTCTTGACCTCTATGGGTATGAAAACCTTGAAGATACACTAAAGAAAGAAATGACAATCGAAGCACAAATCCAAAGGAGAATCCGATTCAAAGAACATTACGAAGGTACTTCATCCTCTTACGAAGGTAATCCTTCAAATCCTTCCTCATCTTCTACTCCATCTTCTCTAAAAAAGCCAAGAGATGAAAAACCTGACAAGGAGAAAGAACTACCAGCAAATAATGACACACTTTCAGCCCCTAAAGATCAAATGATAATTTGTGAGGAGGTAGGGATAGCAAAAAAGAAAAAGATGAGAAAAAGGCAAAATCAAAAGAGGTCACTAGTTACAAAAG